TTACCTCCTGAATTGCAGGAGTTGAAATTTAAGTGAGATTTAATCAAAACTGATCTATATCATAAATTACAAAGCCACAGTTTGTACTTTACTTACCAGGCATTAGGTAAAAACATGAAAAGACTCCTGTATAGTCAAACTAAATTGGCTCTTTTTTTAGGGTAGCTATTTTAAGGTATTTTAGCTTCTGTTAGCTTTATAGACACGTGTAAGCATGAACCACTATCGTGCCATGTTTCCAAAATCCCCTCGGCACTGCTCTTCCAAAGGTGATACAGGTTTTTACAGAGAACAGTTGTTTGCCCTGTCAACTTTCATTATGCTTCATTTTTGAGCTGGAGGAGCTCACTGAAAGGAAAAATAATCTTTTCTTTAATTTTGGCCGAGACTGCCTCTTGAGATGATAGCCTCATGTTGCAAGGAACTTTTAAAATGCTTTGCATTCCGTTTCTGTATGATTAAAAGAACCTTACAAAGCCTAAAAGATCTTTCGCTTGATAATCGGCCGGTTTGTCAATTCCCTCTGCTACATGGACCCATGAAACTCTTTTATTTTCTTCCTCTTAGAATGGCCTATAGAACAGACTAGTACAGAGTAAGACCCTATATCTAGGTGCAAAAACAATGGTTTACAAATTACTTCTGTGTTAAGGAAGGTCACAGCTGACACGTAGATGTTCTAGGCCCTTGAAGGACAGCTTCTGCAATTGCAATGTTTTGTTTCTAATGCATTCTGTCAAAAAAAGATTAAGCCTCTTTGTTCAAAATCTTCTTTCTTCTTAAATCCAAAAATGTTGTCTAGGACTTAACAGTACGTAAAAATTAAAGCACTTTCTTTAGGACTTTTTTAATAAAGACTGATCTAGTATGAATGTATAAATAAAGACTTTTACAGAAGGCCAGTACAAACATTTGTGTAATTTTTAAAAAAATGTTGTAAATACTTGATCTGTGTAATTAACCTATGCATTAAGAATCATCATTCATAGAAATAAAAGATTGTAATATCTTTCTTCAAGTTTAAAACTGGGAAAATGCAAAAAAGCTGGAGTGCTAAAAATTCTAAAATTCTTCAATTTTAATCTGATGAGTTTCATGAAAAGAAAGTAACGTTTCTATGAAAATGTAATTTGTCATTTATTAGTAGACTTTTTCTTTTGCATTGATCCAAAACTGATACTGTGTTGTGGTTTTTTTTTTTTAATTCTCTGCATAGTGGGCAGTGCTGACATGTGGACATTGTTTTTGTAATGAGTGTATAGCTATCATCATAGAACAGTACAGCGTTGGCACCCGCCGGAGCTCAATTAAATGTGCCATTTGCAGGCAGACAACATCTCATAAAGAAATATCATATGTCTTCACTGCAGAAACTGCAAATCAGGAGGATGATATTCCTGTAAAGGTACGTTGTTTATGTGAGCTTTGTGGCCCAAACTTTCAGCAGTGCGTGTTTGTTGTGCTTTGTTGCATACTGCATTTAGGCAGACAAATCTACCATGTAGTTTTGTAAGTAGGTTCACTTTTATAATTAGTTTTGTTTATAACAGGTATAGTTCTTTTTCTTTTGAATTGGACATGATGTATATAGGCCCAGGGAATGATGCACATTTTCTTGTCAAGTAAAAGGTTTTTTGGGGGTTTTTTTGTTTGGTTTAGGGTTTTTTTAACTTATCCTTTTCATAACTTTTAAGAGTTTTGGAAACAAAACATGAAAGGAAATGGTGTGAAAGAGGATAGCTTTTTAACACCTACTCTTTAAATGTGCCTGATGAAAGGCCTTGTAGATGTATTACAAAATTACATATCTGTTCAAGTAATGCTGTCTTGGGGTGTGGGGGGAGGGACAGCTTTAGCTGAGCTTTAGTTATATTTTTATTTAAGCGTTTGACACTGGGTAGAAATAAATACTGTTTGTATGCAGGTAATTTGGTTTTTTTGGTTGTGTTTTTGGCTTTTTGTAGCTAAGGAGAGATGAGGCTTTTTGGAGGCATAGTTTTGCTGTGTTTGCTCGAAATGAGTAGTCTGAGAAAGCTGGCTCTCAGGATAATGGAAATATTTTAGATTTATAAGTCTTCGTTGTTAGCCAGAGAACGTAAATCCTGATTCTGAACTTAAGGTTAGTCATCTGGAATGTTTCTCGAGCTACCTGAGAAGTAGAGTAGTTGTTTTGTATTTTGCAAATCTACGTAGTAGTGTCTGCTATACAAACCATAATTAGGAAGAAAAAACAACTACTTTTTTAATAGGGGTGAATGAACATTAAAACCTGAAGGGAGATTATATATATGCTTCCTCCATCTAACTTGTCCGCTAATAAATTAGTGGACAGGTTCTAATGAGTATATTCAGTAACTTGACCCAAAGTTTATTCAGTAATAAATCAAATCGCAGCAAAGAAAATAGAAACATTTTAACCCCATAAAATATTATTTATCAAAAACAATACTTTTCACTGGAACCTGTTGACCATGAATTTGTTCTTTGGAGAAAGGTTTCTGTGGTGTGATGTTCAG